TTTGACATGCTAGAAGCCTAAGAGCCGGTTGATGCAGAATTTAGACCATTGTAGATCGACCGAAAATTTGCAGAGATGTATGCGGTCGAGCGTACAGATTCATTCTACGTGACCTACAGTAGGCATTCACGATACATTGTTATCTCAGCCTCAAAGTGGGTGCCAATGTTGGTGCATCCTGAATGGGCCTTCTACAGAGTAGTGCGATCGGTGACTCAGTTACTTGTATGTTTGGTTGCATCAATCTACAAATAAAAGACGAGTCACTTTGAGCAGCAGCTACCAGTTCAATGTCCAGACAGCAAGCACGGCAGGAGACACCAGTCGGGCCCGACTGAGGTGTTGCCGAGCGCCGTAGCCGAAAATGGCCGGTGCATGTTGTCTTGGTGTACCTACATGGGGATTCGGCGAAAAATCACTGCATCGTTAGCTTCCAGCTGGAAGTGATTCACTCAATCTCTAACTCATCATTCCTATTTTCAGGGTTCGCGCACTCTGCAATAGAGGCCGCACCGGTTATGCTCGAGGAAAGCCTATCCTTAGAAGCGCAGTTTCAAGGCCACGAACCTGTGATCGACAAACCTCGCCATAAGCGTACAGTGTGCCTTCCTACAACGTTTACGCGGCGCAAAGTTAAAGCTCGGCTTCGTCTTCCTGATCCTCACCGTGTGAAGGCCGCGTCCCTCACCCTGCTGGCTGCTACCCAGCTCCCGACGCTACGTGTCCGATGACCTGAGCAACCCTTCATGTTTAACCATGCTTTCTCACTAAATGTTCCTCACCTTGAGCACCTATGCAGGTAGCCGGGCGTCTGCGAAGGGAAGAGAGGCGAAAGTGCGGAGAGGAGGTTCGACGATGAGAAGATGAGAGGATATCGCGGCGGGACCGGGGTCCGCTGCCAATCAGCGGGCTCGTCCATCTTTGGGTCGGCAATCGTGCCGCATTTTTTGCAGCCCAGAGGCACGGAATCACGGAATGGCCCCGAGCCCCGAGCCCAGAAATGGAGAGGGGGAGCGAGGGGCCGCAGGTCGGAAATCAGGTGCGTGCTGCACACATGCATAACCCCTGCCCCCACGCACGATATGTCATCCAGTTAATAAAAGAACACAGCCAGGTCGACATCCAGGCTCAAACTCGGAAGAGCAAAACACGCCAATCTTGGGCCGCAACAGGTGGTTCGAGCACAATCTCGTAGGACCGGACGGACGAGTACTTGGACGAGTATTCAAGTTGAGGTGTTTTTTGCCATGGGTACGGTGGCAGTATCCACCTCACTCACAGTGGAGGAATTCTGCCACCAGCTGAGAGAGCTGGCCAACAGCACACTGGCACCCAGTAACAGTAGCACACGCCACCGGTTGCTGGTGTATTAAGCCCCACGAGTTGGCCCCGAACATTCAAGTATCAATACCATGGAAGGGGAGAGTTGACACCATCAGCACACGGCTCACTCAAGCAGGGTGTGACGTGGTTTCCGGATCGTGTGGTTCGCCATGTTCTTCCGTGATGAGCCGCTGCTTCTTTGTGGTGGACCTCGAGACTCACAACCTCACTCCCAATTTGGTCTGATTTTGGGAATTGCTCGCCACGCCACCAAGGCACCGCTATACCCGCGCTGCGAAGTTCTAAGAATGTGAGGTTTGCGTCATTATTATGGCGGTTGATGAAACCCATTTACAGCTCGATGTACTTGGCACTATTGTCTGCGATTTCACTCTATCTTCTACAGCAGTACCAGGACTACCGTACTTGTACCGCACGTATAGTGTTGGCGAGGCAGCTATTGACTGGTACAGAAAATGTGATGTCTGTCAGCTCCTTGCGTTTCACGATTTCGAACAACTGAAGGGTATAATAGAAGCCTGCCGCAGCTGCTGCACTTTCCTCTATCACCTGTCGTGTATCATTCTTTTGTTCTCTGATGTAACGCTTTGGCCGGTGAACAGGGAAGGCGCCCGCATCAGTTGAACTTGTACGGGTGATTCTTGTAGAAGGTACTGGGCAGAGACAGCACAAACAACAACAAAACAACAAAAACTACTACTACGACTACTATTAATTCGACTACTACTACTACTAATACAACAGGGACCCTTAAACGCGTTGATTGAGGATGAACTCCGACCTGCATGGTGATGCTACGAGCTAACCGTCAGTGGAGTTGGCCCCTTCCGTCTGCATTGCATTCTGCAGGACATTCTGAAACCCGGACAATCTTGAGCCATTTCGGTTCACGGCATCTCCCAACAACGATATTTATCTCTTAGACTAACGTTCCCGCTGTTTCCTGAAACCATATGAACACCTTCAAAGCTAGTCACTACCAGGTACTCGAGAAACTCTTTGCTGCGCCATGCTTGCTCCCTCTCCTCCGTCGCTTTCCAGCGTATTCTCTGGGTGGCATTATCAGCTCGATATCTCGGAATCTTCCCAGTGCATTGATTTGTTGAGGGTGCTACTTGTCACAGTGTTTACCTGCCGGGTTTTCTCGTGTGGTTTACAGCAATGGTCAGAGGATGCAAATTGAACGATGTCAAGCATAGACAAAAACTTGACACATTTTTTTTTTTTTTCTTCTTCACTTCAAAGCAGCGCTCACAGCACTAGTGCCGTTTACTCCATCCATCCCGTGGTCACACAGAAGAGCCCCTCTCTACCCTCCCCTCCTGCGGTACTTTGCCTTCGATTTTTAGTGCGAGAAGAGTTCAGCACTCTCTTCCCTCTGTGTACACACGAACTAGCGCTATCCACTAGACCAGGAGCGGAAGCGAGAGAAAAGCTCACTTTGCAAGAAAGCTCGCTAACGCCGGGATCCGAACCCCTGACCTGACCTCTAGAAGGTTTCGAGGATACCACCTAGACCACCGGGGCGACCGGTATGTACAGGGCAATCAATGTCGGTCACAGTCAGAGCCTGAAGATCCTGACCGTTTGCGCGACGGCCGTGCGACACACGACTGCGAGGGGCACACTCGACGCAGCAGTGGTAGTGCCTACAGGGAATGAACGCGCAATAAATCTCGTTGTCGAAGCATACCTGGGAATAGATCGAGCCGAAAGGTTCGGGCGGTACAGGTAGTCAAGGGCAGGGAAAGACGAACGCACATTCAGCCATGAGGCAGGAACGCTTCTAGCCGGTTGTACTTCGATCTTACGACGAACGATGCCTTGTCGCCAGGAGGACCGCTGCATTACTACCTGGCATTCGTTGATGTCCTCGTCGTGTTCCGTAGACCGTGGTGTATAAAATAACCGGTACGTCGCTCGAAGCGCCTCTTGCACGGGAATCGGCCGAGGCAGAAGCACGGAGAGGACCAGCAAGGGGGCCCGCGGGGTGTGGGGTAAACAGGGTATGGCCAGTGGCCAGATACGAGGTTGCGGGTAGGTTGGGCAACGGCTACCACTTATAGGGTGGGGAGGATGCACGCCGTAGTGTGCCGAAAAATCCGCATCTCGAATAATGGCGATACTCCAACTAGCACGACGGACTGGCAGGATAGACAAACAATGTGTTCAAGTTTGATTCCATCCTCCAATCCTCCCCCAACTTTCGCAGGTAGGTTGTAATCGGTGCCCACCCTGCCCCCCTGGTCACTAGTGATCCGGTTTTGAGAGAAGGGCAAACGTTCACGTTAACGGCGGCCTTCGCTGGAAATTTCCTCCTACGGTTCATGGTGCCGAAAACCGAGCTTTTGACTGTAGTGTTCTGTTCAAGACGCGCTCGAAGATGCGGCGATTATGATTTCTTCCGCAATAGCTGCCCTTCCGCAACTTCCGCCAGAACTCGGAACCGTTTGATCCTGTGCCCGACCGCCACGGGGCGGCTACCTCCACAAATGCCTTGTAGTCTCTTCACTGTTTGCTAAGATCTACGGAATATCCAGAGCATCTACTGGCACCATATGCTCACGAAGGATGGGGAAATACATCAAGGAAGGTCCTCTGCGGGGACGGGGGCCTCATCCAACATACACCAATAATCGGCAAATCGCCTTTATCCCCTGTGCCTTAGGGAAGCTTCGATATTCCTTGGACCTATTGTAAACGAGATGCTGAAATGCAACCTATAGGCACCGAAATCGGTAAGTCTCTCCCTGCTTTCTTTCACAACCCGACGGATACGTATAACAACCCGGATAACGTCTGTCAGTCTGCATGAAATTCAAGGTCCTCCCCGCGGGACACGGGTTACAAGCCTCCCGAGGGCTGATACGAATAGTGCTCGATTCTGTTACAAACATCGCATGCGTTCTTCGGAGCCATCCCGCGCGGACAACAAGTGCCAGGGGGATTCACCCAACTGTTATGGGATTTGAGTACAAGTGAACCGGCCACTGGTTCGGCGATATTTTCTTGCGATTGTAGATTCTGTTGGAACTGAAAAGAATATCCGAAACGCGTTACAAGCAGAGACGCGAGCGCACGCTCCCAGAAGCCAAGTGTGGGTGCATGCATAGTCTACAGTGTATCGCTCTGCCCGCGGCGAAGTGTGGACGAGCACAATATTGAATTGAGATAGTGATGGAATCACCCAAATGCGAAGACTAACGGCTGTGAGGAAACGTTGTTCTCGGGGAGGGACAAACTGCAAACTCGCGCGATACATCAAGCAGAGGCGACGGTACCATCTCCGAAGCAATATATGATGGGTTATGGGAACACATATGCCATGCGATCAGATTAAGCGGCATGTTGTTGTCGTTCGTGGCGGGAGACGTGTTTGCAACGAGCATACGGGCGTTTCCTTTCTCGCGTCTTTGATGGGCTATATTTCTGATTGACAGGGCCTTCTTTCCGCAGAACATGGAAAACCTGCTCCCGCGACTTTCCGCGTCCAGCGTACCCGCCACAGATGCCTATTCTGAGCATGCACACGGCAACATACCCACGAGGCTCCGGCGTGCCCCTCCGCAAGAGAGAGATTTGCCGAGGCACGAAAAACCACCAAACTAATGATGTACGGGCTGCATATGTCGAATACATCGGGACCATTCCCAGCTTCAGAAGTTACACTCCCACGTCGTTGAGGAGATGAGGTGTTCGCTTCGAAAGAACTGAACTACATATAACCAAAGTTTCGGTTGTCCGATTGTCAGAGAGTTGTGGTCGAGGAGACAGTTGGACCGTGAATCTAGCGATTGGACGTGTTTGTTTATTGTTTATCCCCTTCGTGTTGGCTGATTTAGTGGTAGGTGTAAATCTAAGTCTTCCCTATACGCAAATGCCTGGAAGTCAAAGCTGTAAGACGTGCTGGGTACGAAACGACCACAAAAAGATCGCCTGCGATAACGACATCTGTCCAATCCTCGCGAAGCTACCAACATCTACTTGCCTTACCTGAGCTTGTCGAAGATCAAGGCAGTAGAGCGAGTGGTCCAACTCGAGTCCTTCTCGGCCCAGCTTGGCTTGCAAGATGGCCAGCCGGCGCCCGAACAGCTCCTTCGCCTCGTCCAGTCGCCCGACCGCTTGAACGCAAACACCAAGTTGGTGCAGTACTTTGCCGACCTTGATGTCATCTTCACCCAGTCTAGCCACACTAGTCGCCAGACAGCGCCTTAGCAGCTCCTCCGCCTCGTCCAGTCGCCCCGCTGTTTGGATGTTAACGCGGAAACATTGCACGTCGTGCTGGGGATAAGCGAGGTTGTACGGGGAACGGCTTGTGCACCTCAAGGTGTGGCAGGCCCAACGCAATGCATGCTCGACCGAGCAAAGAGTCACTCTATACTGCACCAATGAGGCAGCAATAGAAAACCTCGACCGGAAAAATACCCTTGGGGCTCAAGGTTTGGGAAGCTACTAGAGGACTAGGTATGCATGGCTTTATCTTGACAGATACGTGTTGGTTCAGCAGCCTCGGCACAGCTTGGTGGCGTTTCTCACCTTGCCTACTATGGAATCGTACCCGTGTGGCGGCCTTGTCATGCCCTGAAAGTTAGTTTCAGTAGTGACGAACGGGTCCCCGATTGCGACATCAGCCACAATCATGAACCTTACCCTCCAACCGTCTGCTGCCACCTGCAGCATTGTTTCGGCTGGTGGCTGGTGATGAGAAGGACCACCCACAAAGTTTCGATATGATTGCACGTGTTTCGGGAGAGAACACGGATCTATCAAAGTGCTACAACCTACTGCCCACTAAACGTACATCTGCTTGCCTGCCGAGTTTCCTGTTACGCCCGGTTGCTCTCTGCGAAAGTACGTACAAACGTTCTTGCTGCTGGCCTACAGTACATACCTCATACACCGGACGTTTGCAAAAAGTCTCTGAATTCCAGGGCTGCCATTCGGCGTATTGTTCTTCATGAGTGTCTTATTCGCCCAGACCTCCAAGGAAAATGCGGGCCATGACGTATCAGCTAGATGCATCATTGCACAGGTACAGGTTTGCGTCACTCCATTTCTAACAGTGGTTCACAGAAGAAATGGGAAATATTAACTCGCCTTTGAAGTTTTCATTGCGAAGTCGTCGGCCTTGCCGGACACGGTGCTGAAATAAATTTCCTGCCCATACCTCAGCCTGGCAGAACTCATCGGCGAATGACCGATATTGTCTCCGATTTTGAAGCCGCCCATGCAGATGTTGCAGGCCGCGCATTCAGGCCGAAGGCATATGGGTCCCTGATGCACAGCACGCGGGAAGCCCCGTTCAAACCAAAAACGAGGATGTAACCAGAAGCGAACTTCAATGTAATCATCAGGGAGACAAAAGACTTCAATATTATTCGTTCCGTGTGAAATATGGCGACACGAACCAAAACGCGCCCATATCTTCACCACACAATCATACCGGCGAGAAACAATTGCAGACGCGTATTCTGTGCACACGCTTCTCACCCCCACGTGGAAGTAACACGCGCTAGAGCACGAGGTGCCGTGAAACCGTTGGTGCACATTTGGCACCGTTCTCTTGTACTCTTTGTGCCTCTCTTGGACTTCGTGCGGCACCTTAAACAGTGAACACACCCGAAGGAAACAAAGGTGGGACACGTGCGAAGCCGTCTTGGTGTGTTCAGAGAGTATCCAACGACTTGTGAAAATACCACCCGGACGCCACACTGGCGCATTTCGGAACAGTATACATTGTTATGCTGACGCCACTTGATACGCACCACGATCTCGATCACGTCCACAACCGACAAGCGCTCGCGGCACTTGTGCTTCCACTGCGTGACGAAAGTCTTTCTGACGGATTTGTTCCTGGGGTGGTCCTTGTGCAAGAAATGGAGCGCAAATCCGGAACGCGAGCTCTCCGCACGCATCACTTTAATTGCGCCATGTTCTATGACCACACGACTCAAGTGTGGGCTCTGGAACTGTGTGGCAAGAAGCGCAAGGGGGCAAGACATTTTTAAGGGGACGGTGCCTGAACCGTGGTGAAAATACGCGAAGAACACAAGCTGGCCCATGTGCAACGCTTACATGACCGACGGCCGACGAGTCATTGTTCGGCACGACCGCGCCCGTCACTTCGTTGAATCAACACACAATGCATGTCTGCAACAAAGGGGCTACTGCTGGTCAATTCCAAGCGCTGCTCAGAGTTCCTGTTAGGGGTGAATCGTCTCCATTCAGCGTGGGAACAAATAATGAAAAGGACACCAACAGTCCCTCTCACACTGAATTCCAAGCATCGAAACCTCACCGCGTTCTGCTGAAATGCTTGAAGGCTGATACCGAAGAGGGTATGTAGAGTGGACCTTGAGCATCCGGGAAGTCCTGACACCTCACGCCACTGGTACTGAAGTACCTCCAAGTAGTCCTCCTTGGCGCAGGCAAGAGTGCAGAACTGCTGGTAGGCCTCGTTCACAAACCACGCCGTTCTGGGCGATCATCGTCGACAATGTTTGTTTCCGTGTCCAGTAATGGATTCTCCCGTTCTGGACAAACACGCTCTGTTTTGGGACGGCTAGGTACAGTTTGGCACCCCTCTTTCCTGTCCCCGCAGACTGTGGCAGAGAAGAACAGGAGACGTACACTGCGTGGGTCGGGGGAAGGCGCGCGCCTCTGTCACTCACCGAGAAAACCCTCTGCGCAGGCACTCCCTCTTCTTCGTCTTGTGAACATGCGTGAAACCGCGCACTTGAATCTGGAGCACAGAAGAAAGGGCATTGAGTTCGACGTGCGTAGTATTATGTTCGTCTTCTCGTCTGTCTCGCAACCCGTCCGATTTTTTCGAGTCAAATTTATCAAACACATTCGCCAGGGATATCACCAAGTGTGTTTTGTGTACTTTGACACAGGCAACATCGACAGGCAGGACTTACAACTTACATGACCCACATTTTCCGGAACAAGATCGACTTTTTCCGTGCAGGATGCAAGGGCACAGGTTGACGGTTGGGACTAGGTCTGTCGGGTCGTCGCCAGCAGCATGTGATCCACGCAGCAGAACGGGTGCATTCGAACCAGCGGCTGAAAATCACGTGATCGCTCACGCGTATCCGTGAGGCTGGACGGATGCCCAGGCAAATGGCGCAAAAAAGGTTTGAGATTGAGTAAACCAGTGTTTTAGTCAGCTCGTTTGTGAGATAGTCTATATATGCATAGACTATGAAGGTTGAAATGCATCTCCGCCAATACACAAAAGCATTGAAGAGATAGCGCTGCATTTTTCACTGAAAACCACCGCAGTGTTGATCTCCGGGACGAGAACCCAGTAGCGGACATGAAGAACGCCTTCCTTCACAAGGAGAGGAACTCATCTTCCCTATTGGATGATGGGCCAACAAAACACAAGACTCATAGTTTACAAACAGGCATTCTGATGATGGGAGGCCAACCTTGATATTCGAGTATTCGCTAAAGTATTCCCTGTTTCGTGCCTATACCGCACGCTACCAAGAGGGGTGGCAAAACCAGGTTTTGTGTCTACTGTAGTCTTCATGAAAGTGGAGAGGGCATACTATACTCATTGGTTAGTCTATGCTTGAAGATCCAGAGCGTGTGACAGCTCTCAATAATGGTTGACAACGAAAAAATCAACTACACTCGTTCGTTCCTGTACAGCCCCAACAAGTACGGTGCACGCGATGTGCACGCGATATCCACAAGGAGTTACACGGGGCAGCAAGGAACTACAGCTGAAGACCCTAGTTTTATTGCAGACTTCTCTGTGAGCAGGCTCTGCGCCAGCTCTATTTCTCCTGTTTCGCGCAAGATTATTCTTCAACTTCAACCCACCCCGCTTTCGAACGACAAGGAAGGGGGTCGTATTCCCCGTGATCTTCCACGCCAAACATGATGAATGAAGCGACCGTAGTAGCAAGAAAGAGCCGTTGAAACTGGCATCACCGGTCAGACTGCCGAGAAACCCAACGCAGGGCTTAGTCCCCAAGTTCCCGTGTGCTTTTCCTGGAAACAAACCTGACTTCGTCTCGTTAGTGTCGACGTCGTTTTTCTCGGCAACTGACAGCGAACCCCAACAACGTCTTCTCGCCCTTCTCTCTGCAAGTTCTCTCCTTCTTGCATCTCGCTTGCTTCACCCGGGACAAACCAAAGTGTCGTCATCTTGTATGCTATTGACGAACGCGGCAAGAACGGAACAGATGGGAGATTGCCCCTGAGGAACATGCAGCCTAGATTTAGTCCGTCAAAGCTGCGCCTCAAGTTTCTAAAACCCTCGAGGTGCATGGCTACAACTCGCCGCCCATCTCGCCACACCGCAACGCCTTTTCCTTTGCGTACGTGTGGTAACAGTGTACTACAACGTAGGCCAGCTAGCAAGGGACAGTAGCGTCACGAGAAAACGATGATGCGTTGTCTCGCTGGCTCTATTGTACAGCGGGCGAGAATAATAGGAGACATCTCACCTTGGAGCGTTGAGGGATCTCCTCATCGCCCCCCGACCTTCTTGTGCAATTCGCGCGCTGGCCTGGAGGTGTCAGATCAAATCCCAGGTCGCGCGTATAAACCAGGCAACAAGGAGACTCCGATTCTACGAGGGTGATCTACAGCAGCGGATTGCTAAATGCCAAGACCAAGCCTTTCGTAATCGAGAAACTGGCTTTATTGCAAACGGGACCGTTAATAACCTGTAATAATGGATGGAGGCGTTTTTCGCTCTCGGAGAGATTCGTTTGTGTCGCGTTCTTCGGCTCGAACTGCCTTCTGCGTGCTGCTGTGCCGAATACGACACAAGACAACTTTACCCCCTGGACAAATTGTGAAAGCTCGATTACTCCATGACGAAGAGGATGAAATTGGAAAGCTCTCGACCACAAGGCTTGCTTCAACGCCGCCGTTTTCGGCACCCCCACCCTTCTGCTGTCGATAAATCGTTAAATCGAGTTCTGAAAATCGGTACAGGGGGTGTGCTATCTTGTGTCGTATACGGTACTGCTGAGCTCTCGTGAAGTAAACGTTCACGAAAGCTCACCCAGCGGCTGTGTTGCTATTCCGGATTGTGTATATGTGCGTTCGCCTTCTTTTCGCGGTGGCTAGAATTAGCTACACAGAACCTGTTCCGGTGTAAATGTGTTATCCTTGAAGTAAAGACATATCAAATCTGTGCGTGGCCATCGATCGATATCCAAATCGTCGGTAACGACATATGCATATCAGCTGCCGCAGTAGTTCGCGCCTTCAGAAAACGTGGGGAAAATATCATGCTCCGGTTGAAGTATCCCTGACAACAGAGTGAAATAGCACTTCAACCCCACTCGGGCGTACACCAGGGTGTCACCGCCGACGTGGAACTATCCCCAGGAAAGCCATGCGGGTGGAGTGTGTTTTCTGACAAATCATGTTTCCCACTCGGAAAACAATAATTTCCCCCGTTTTTAAGTGTCAGTATCTACACTACAGCAGAGTGTTCGCCGCGGAAGCACGACCTCTGAATTGTTGCACGTGCATCCCTGTGTTTCACTAATTTAACACGTCTCTCCGTCAACTCTCTATCCAAGCTATTGTACCACTTGTTGTTGCCTTCCTTCCTCCTTCCATCCGACGCATTTAAACTTCTCTTATCCCAAACCCTACATGGACAAGCATGCGATCGGCCCACCGTCCGTCTCTGCATCGATCAAAATATGCCTTCTCATACATGAACAAGACAAGGCACCACTATTCACTCTTCACTACAGTCATCATACTACAAACATTGAATTAATTTCCAGCTTTCAGAGCCGTGCGCGGACTCTGGAGTGTATAACATAATTTTCACATCACCACGATCACCCGATACCCACCCACATGAAAACGAGAGCGTGAAAAGAACGGGATACGGCCAAGGTCCCTTCCCAAACCATCCCCTTGGTTTGCTCTGTATATTCCCAGCCTACCTCAGAGAACACTA